CTACTCCTTTAGTGGAAGTGTGGGAGGATACTTAATTGCAATTTGGAATGTGGAATTCAACTCAAACGTCTGAGTTTTATTTTTCTAATTTGGTTTGTATTTATTTTAAAGGCAGCATGATTTGATTTTGTTGTAATGAGTAAAAACTATTCTTGGGTGAAGTCTAGGAAAACTAAGGAAGTAACAAAATAAATTATCTTGATTAGTCTTGATGCTTGCAAGAACACAATGTATGTCACGGATCTCCTTTTTAATCCTGATGGAGACAAAAAGAGTCCACTAAGTTAGTTGTGTCACTTCTTTCAAATGGCTGATGTAGATACAGAACAGCAGCTATAATTTTACATTTAAGTGATTGAGCCAGACAATTGTGTCAGAAGCAGCAGAGTGTATAGCTGTAATACCTCCTTCATATTTATAGATCAGGTACTGAGTCATTATAGGTTTGATGGTCTGTTTTGGGTGACCACAGTGGCACACTGGAGAGTTTTTAATTTTCTACTGATGCATCAAGTGTCTGCATTTCCCATGTATTGTGCAGCTATAGATTCATAGATTGTAAGGCTGGGAGGGACCTTTGAAGATCATCAAGTCCAACCCCCTCCACCAAGCCAGAAAGATAACTGGGGGTCAGGTGACCCCACCAAGGTGCCTGTCTAGTCTCCTCTTGAACATCTCCAGGGTAGGTGATTGCACCACCTCTGGAGGGAGCTTATTTCACAGCCTGGACATCCTGACTGCGAAGAAGTTCTTCCTAATGTTGAGCTTGAATTGGTCTTCCAGGAGTTTGTGGCCATTACTACTAGTTTTCCGCTTAGGTAACCTGGTGAACAGTTGCTCACTGAGACCTTGCTGTACTCCCCTAGGGTAGAGGTAATATGTTTTACAGTTGCCCATAAGTGTCATGGAAGATCAAAGCCAAGGACCTTCTGCATGGGATCCATCACAAGATGTTTATTTGGGATGTCCTGTGAACTCTATTCAGTTTTCCAAGTTTCATCAGGGTTGAAATCACACTGTTGCATGGATCCAGAAGGGCTTGCCTGAGTTTAGGTGATAGTGAAGGACATTGTTGAGGTCCTGGTGGATGGGGAGAAGTTTGTTTCCTTAATTCGCTGGAATTCCCATGGAGTTGCTGCCTCACTCTGAATGGGTAGAGGAGCACTGTGTGACAGCACAGGCAGCCAAGGTGCAGGGACAAACTTGAGGGTTCCAGTTGTGTCACTTTTCCTATATGACTAATTAGTAGAGCTGAGTTGGAAACTATGGGGAAATGGGATCATCTGAAAATAATACCTGTTTCAAATTTTGAAATTTGAAATTTTAAGACTAAAAAATACTGGCTTTCCAGTTAATCAAGAAAAACAAAAAGGTGGTAAGGGGCAAAAGTGTGCACTTTCTCTCTGTTTCCTATCTTAAAAAAATACTGAATTTGAAATTTTGTCAACATAGTGAACTATTAAAAAATCATGAATAGCCCTAATTATTGAAAACGGTCTTATAATTTTTAGTCTCTTAGGCAAGATAATATGTCAGAGATGTTACAATAGTCAGGGGCAAGGTTTGTTTGGTAGTCACTTATATTTGACCAACTATATAGCTGAGAGGTTGCTAGACTATTTTTCTGGGATAAAATGACCTTCCTCTGATCTGGTAAAGAAGCAGATATAGCCTTAGCTAAATACCAGGTAAAACATCATATAACTCATCGTTATATTAACTCCATCATATAAATGAATACAGTTACTTAAAGGCGGGGAAGAGGAAAGTATATCAGTGGAGGAAAGAGAAATTCCCTTTCTCTGCTGTCACTTTCCCTTGAAATTTTCTTGGGTTTTCACCACTTAGACTAGAAGTTTTTCTGGATTTTTCTCATCCTAGAAGTCTGTTCAGTACTGAGCCTACTGGAAGCCTAATCTGAGTTGGGGTCACTAGAGGCTATTGTATTATAAATAATAAATAACATTTATATTGTTTGTAATGCATTTCCAGATGTTTCAAGTCAATAACAGAAGAGAAAAGATCAGGAAAAGAAATATCAAGCCTTCAATTCAAGTTACTTTAGGGATTCTTACAGCAACAATGGTCATAATGGAGGGAAAGAGCATTGTAAATGTGCTTGCAGTGCTTTGAAATATTAAATGCTCCAAAGCCAAAATTTTCCATATTTGCTTCCTTCACTTATTCACTTCTAAAGTGATTAAGACCTTATCGAAAGCTCAGTGAAATCAATAAAGCTACAAACAGATGTCACACTTGTTTAGGAATAAACTATTTTATACCAGGATTGTGTGATTGTTCAGATGTCCATGCTATTGTCCCAGGATAAATTCTAAAACAGGCTCACAGATTAAGAAGTACTAACAGTTTACCCCAGACATCACAAAGTGATGGTTATCCCAGGATTGAGTCATTGAATCAAAGGCAGAAAAGCAGCATTGTATCAGCCATTCACTAAACCCTGATTAGAAGGGTGATATGTGTACACATCAATCTTAGGATATTTCTGTTCTGAGCCAAAAACAGGCACAATTTATCCAGGGAAAAATGTACCATCTGTTCCTCACCTAAGGGTCTCTGAAAACAGTAGTTTTTATATCCAGCCCCCTGTTTTTTCCCACCATAAAATTAAGTCTAGTAGCATGGTCTGTGGTAGGCGTTATCTAAAGAACCGTCTTAAGAAAATTGAATCGACTCAGAAGACTCCTCTTTCACCTCTCTCAGAACTTGATTGTACAGCGTTATATATTATCCAAGCACTTCTACTCACTAGAGTAACCCAAATGACTTCTTTGGAACTACCTCTGTGTGCAAATGCTTACCACATAGCCCTTGCCCCACAACAGTACAATACAATTTAAGGTGACTGTCCAAGGGTAGCGCTGTGCCGGTCACTTTTCTCTGTGCCGAAGCCTCCGCCCCTCTTGGAAAGGGACCGTCCCCGGGGTGTTCCTCCTCACTAGGCTCGTTTGTGAGCTGGTTTCCTCCGAACCGCCTGCCATGACTTTGATGATCTCCTGGTTCAGTGATATAAAATCCGGGGCGTACCAGTCCACAAATAAGACTCCGATCCCTCAGGGGTCCCACGCTGTCGAGGGCTCCGCCGCCCCTACACCCTCGCCCGTACCTCCTGGCCGCCTGCTTCCCTCTCGTCACCAAGGGCACGTCCGAGGTACAGAAATCAAAGAGAAACAAACAACTGAATGCTTCCAGCCAGAGATTCCCGGAGCCCGAAGGTTACCCGTCCCTTTTACCGGGTTCTCCGGTCCTTCCCTGTCCGGCGTGGGGATACCCCCCCATTTCCGGCTGTACTCACCACACCAGATCTGTTCCCGGGCTTGCAAAGTCCCTGAGTCCCTCTCTGACCCGGCTGCCTCGCTTCCCTTGCTACGAGTGCCCCTCTACTCAAAAGAATACGGCTCGCCGGCTCTCCGTTCTCCGCGGCTCTGCGCCGTCAGTATCCGTGGTGAGGCCGCTGCTCCTCAGCTCCCGGGTCCCGTTGGGGTTTGCCCTGACCCCAGAAGGTCCTCCCGCGCCGGCCGGCCGCCTTTCCCCACGCTCGGGTGCTCCCGACGGCTCCCTCTTCGCCGCCGCTGCCTTCCGGGTCTCTTCCCCCAGCTGCCTCCGGCGTCCCTTTAATAGGGACCGGAACTGCCTCGAGGCTTCTTCCCCGGTCGCACCTGTGGAGCGTGAGTGTTCCCGCCCTGGCAATTTGTGCCGTGGGGCGTAACCTGGATTGGTTATTTCCGGGTGGTGGGGTTCCGGGGACCTCCTGCTCCCTTCCTCCCCCACAGTGACTCAGTGCAGGCCTCCACTATCCAGTAGCTTTTCACAGAATCAGAATGTAGTCTTTCATGTAGGTGAAACAGGATTTTATGTCTTAGGCACAAGAAGTTCTGCTAATATGGTTTGCTTCCCTTCCTAAGCTTCTTTTATTCCACTTTTCATTTCTCTGAGTACTTTACATGCAGCTGATCACAGTAAATGGCTCTTGGCAGATTCATGCTGGTAATAACAATATAACTGTATCAAGGGTGATTTCAAATCCAACTAGAAGAATGACTTTTAAACCTCCACGGCATACCTGATTTTAACCCAGCCCAGCTAACTGATGTTATGTTCCTTTTGTCTAATGCTGTATAGCTACCAGCAGGAATTCACAAGGTGTGGCATATGAAAATGAAGGTATAGCATTTATACTTGCGTTACGTATATCAGTTGATCTATAGTACAGTTAATGGAGCTACAACAATTTACACCAGCTGACAGGAAGACTGATAATGCATAAACTCTTTTGGCCTGGGATTCCCATTCTATGTTACGTGTATACACAGTATCTACTATAATAGGATCCTTATCCCTAAGCAAGGCTAAAGAGAATCAGCGGCATTTGGGGGAAATAATTATTTATTAGTAATGGTTTATGAGCATTTTCCAAAAAGAAAAGCATTCATGATCTCGGTCTCAAGCAGTGTAAAGTTATTCAGGGACATGTATGTTGGGATTATTAAAGATGACTACAAGATTTTCAGTTGCCCTAAGGTACCTTTGAAAATCTCAACCACAGAAGGTAGAGGAAAAGGTTACAATATATTGGAAAGATGATCACTGTGGCAATTGGCCACACTGTAATACTAATATTATTGTGGGTTTCCCATTTTTATTATTATAAAACTGATGATCTAAGTTGTATCTGCTCCACAGCAAGTCAGTTTCTTGGCACATTTCATGACAGGAGAAAGTCTTGAAAACAAGAATGGCAGACACCTTTGCAGAAGAGGCTAGCAAAATTCTATAAACAGGGAGGGCATCACTGGAGATGGCTCAAAGAGACCATTTTGAAGCTTCATGTGAAAGTCTACACCAGTGATCCTCATTCTTTTTTTAGACAAGAGGCCAGATCTTAGTTTTCTCTCCTTTTTAATAACAAAAAAAATAGATCCCTTCTTCTATTGCAAAGAACACAGGAATACCACAATATAGGTCTGATCTTTTTTAACACTATGGATTCCTATTTGATATCCTTGAGCTTATCTTGTGAATCATGTTTGAACACCTAACAATGCTAGTATTGCATGGCACCTTGTGGCACCCCTGAAAAGATCTCAAGGCGCTACAGCACCATGGACAAGAATAGCTGGTCTACAGTTTTGAGCACAGGACTGGGAGGCAGAAATCCCTGCATGCTAACCCTGAGCACTGATTCTCATGCTGTAGCCTTAAGCAAGCCATTCTAGCTCAGTTCCTTCTAGCAGTGGGTTGCAAGAATTATTTGGATAAGGACTGCCAAATGCTCTGCAGGTGAATAAAAGAATCTCATTCGCCCCAATTCAGCTCCTACAGAAGTCAATGGAAAGACTCATATTAGCTTAAGTGGAAGCTGGCCTCCAGTGCCCTGTCATGCAGTCTGTGAGGTTCCCCATGGGACCACGGCCCTGCATGTTAGGTCAGACATGCAGGACAATGAGGGGCCTAATCCTGGCATGTGGGGCAGGTCCCAGCTAGCAAAGGTGACGCAGACCCCCTCGAGCCAGATCCCAGCGAGCAAATGCAACTCGAGGCCTTGAAGCCCGATCCTGGCACACAGGGCCTTATGCAGCCCACAGACTGGCTCCACATCCCTCATCTGGCCTACAGGGTCAAAAAGTTGAGTGTCACTGCTCTTCACCATTCATGTCCAAATAGGAAAATGATATCCATGGCATTTATCCTGTGAATGCTTATGCATAAGAATGGTCTGAAGTCTGGAAAAATGTCCTATAGTGAGACATCTACAAATATGGGCAGCTGGGGAGCAGGAGCGAGGGGAGCAGGGTGCACGTGTGCC